TCTTTCAGAAGTGTTCTATAGTTTTTAGGGTATAGATCCTTTACCTCTTTGGTTAGGTTTATTCCTAGGTATCTTATGCTTTTGGGTGCAACTGTAAATGGGATTGACTCCTTAATTTCTCTTTCTTCAGTCTCATTGTTAGTGTATAGAAATGCCATTGATTTCTGGGCATTGATTTTGTATCCTGCCACGCTACCAAATTGCTGTATGAGTTCTAGCAATCTTGGGGTGGAGGCTTTTGGGTTTTCTATGTAGAGTATCATGTCATCGGTGAAGAGGGAGAGTTTGACTTCTTCTTTGCCAATTTGAATGCCTTTAATGTCTTTTTGTTGTCTGATTGCTGAGGCTAGGTCTTCCAATACTGTGTTGAATAGCAGTGGTGAGAGTGGACATCCCTGTCTTGTTCCTGATCTTAGGGGAAAGGCTCCCAGTGCTTCCCCATTGAGAATGATATTTGCTGTGGGCTTTTCGTATGGCTTTTAAGATGTCGGGGAATGTTCCCTCTATCCCTACACTCTGAAGAGTTTTGATCAGGAATGGATGCTGTATTTTGTCAAATGCCTTCTCTGCATCTAATGAGAGGATCATATGGTTCTTGGTTTTTCTCTCGCTGATATGATGAATCACATTGATTCTTTTACGAGTGTTGAACCAGCCTTGTGTCCTGGGGATAAATCCTACTTGGTCATGGTGAATAATTTTCTAAATGTGTAGTAGGATCCTATTGGCTAGTATCTTGTTGAGAATTTTTGCATCCATGTTCATCAGGGATATTGGTCTGTAATTCTCCTTTTTGGTGGGGTCTTTGTCTGGTTTTGGAATTAAGGTGATGCTGGCCTCATAGAACGAGTTTAGAAGTACTCCATCTCTTTCTATCTTTCCAAACAGCTTTAGTAGAATAGGTATGGTTTCTTCTTTAAACGTTTGATAGAATTCCCCTGGGAAGCCATCTGGCCCTGGACTCTTGTGTCTTGGGAGGTTTTTGATGACTGCTTCAATTTCCTCCCTGGTTATTGGCCTGTTCAGGTTTTCTATTTCTTCCTGTTCCAGTTTTAGTAGTTTGTGGCTTTCCAGGAATGCGTCCGTTTCTTCTAGATTGCCTAATTTATTGGCGTATAGTTGTTCATAATATGTTTTTAAAATAGTTTGTATTTCCTTAGTGTTGGTAGTGATCTCTCTCATTCATGATTTTACTAATTTGAGTCTTCTCTCTCTTCTTTTTAATAAGGCTGGCTAATGGTTTATCTATCTTATTAATTCTTTCAAAGAACCAACTCCTGGTTTTGTTGATCTGTTCCACAGTTCTTCTGGTCTCGATTTCGTTGAATTCTGCTCGAATCTTTATTAACTTTCTTCTTCTGCTGGGCATCGGGTCGATTTGCTGCTTCTTCTCTAGCTCCTTTATGTGTAAGGTTAGCTTTTGTATTTGAGTTCTTTCCAGTTTTTGAATGGATGCTTGTATTGCGATGTATTTCCCCCTTAGGACTGCTTTATTTGCATCCCAAAGATTTTGAACGGTTGTATCTTCATTCCCATTAGTTTCCATGAATCTTTTAAATTCTTCCTTAATTTCCTGGTTGACCCTTTCATCTTTTAGCAGGATGGTCCTTAACCTCCACGTGTTTGAGGTCCTTCCAAACTTCTTGTTGTGATTTAGTTCTAATTTCAAGGCGTTATGGTCTGAGAATATGCAGGTGAGGATCCCAATCTTTTGGTATCGGTTCAGACCCGATTTGTGACCCCGTATGTGGCCTATTCTGGGGAAAGTTCCATGTGCACTTGAGAAGAATGTGTATTGAGTTGAGTTTGGATGTAAAGTTCTGTAGATATCTGTGAAATCCATCTGGTCCAGTGTATCATTTAAAGCTCTCGTTTCTTTAGATATGTTGTGCTTAGAAGACCTATCTAATATAGAAAGAGCTAGATTGAAGTCACCAAGTATAAGTGTATTATTGTCTAAGTATTTCTTCACTTTGGTTATTAATTTATTTAAATATTTGGGAGCTCCCACATTTGGGGCATATATATTGAGGATTGTTAAGTCCTCTTGTTGGATAGATCCTTTAAGTATGATATAGTGTCCCTCTTCATCTCTCACTACAGTCTTCGGGGTAAATTTTAGTTTATCTCATATAAGGATGGCTAACCCTGCTTTCTTTTGAGGACCATTTGAATGGTAAATGGGTCTCCAACATTTTATTTTCAGGCTGTAGGTGTCCTTCTGTCTAAAATGAGTGTCTTGTAGACAGCAAATAGATGGGTCCTGCTTTTTTATCCAGTCTGACACCCTGCAACTTTTGATGGGGTCATTAAGCCCGTTCACGTTCAGAGTTACTATTGAAAGATATGAGTTTAGTGTCATCATGATATCTATTCAGTCCTTGTTTTTGTGGATTGTTCCACTGAACTTCTTCTTAAAGGGGAATTTTAAGAGTCCCCCTTAAAATTTCTTGCAGAGCTGGTTTGGAGGTTACATATTCTTTCAGTTCCTGCCTGTCTTGAAAGCTCTTTATCTCTCCTTCCATTTTGAATGAGAGCCTTGCTGGATAAAAAGTATTCTTGGTTGCATGTTCTTCTCATTTAGGACCCTGAATATATCCTGCCAGCCCTTTCTGGCCTGCCAGGTCTCTGTGGAGAGGCCTGCTGTTATCCTAATATTCCTCCCCATAAATGTCAGGGATTTCTTGCCTCTTGCTGCTTTAAGGATCTTCTCTTTATCTTTGGAATTTGCAAGCTTCACTATTAGATGCCGAGGTGTTGAACGGTTTTTATTGATTTTAGGGGGGAATCTCTCTATTTCCTGGATCTGAATGCCTGTTTCCCTTTGCAGGTTAGGAAAGTTTTCAGCCATGATTTGTTCAAATACATATTCTGGCCCTCTGGCCCTTTCAGTGCCCTCGGGAACCCCAATTAAACGTAGGTTTTTCTTCCTCAGGCTGTTGTTTATGTCCCTTAATCTATCCTCGTGGTCTTTTGTTTGTCTCTTTTTTCCTCAGTTTCCCTCTTTGCCATCAACTTGTCTTCTATGTCACTCACTCGTTCTTCCACATCCTTAACCCTGGTCATTAGGACTTGTAGTTTGGATTGCATCTCATTCAATTGATTTTTAATTTCTGCCTGATTAGATCTAAATTCTGCAGTCATAAGGTCTCTTGAGTCCTTTATGCTTTTTTCTAGAGCCACCAGTAGCTGTATAATAGTGCTTCTGAATTAGCTTTCTGACATTGAATTGTAATCCAGATTTTGTAACTCTGTGGGAGAGAGGACTGTTTCTGATTCTTTTCTTTGAGGTGAGGTTTTCCTTCTAGTCATTTTGCTCAGTGCAGAGTGGCCAAAAACAAGTTGTATTGGGAAAAGGAGAAAAAGAGAGGAGAGAAAGAAGGAAAGAAAAGAGAAAAAGAAAAAAGAAAAAAGGAAGAAAAAAAGATAAAAAGAGAAGAAAAAGAGAAAGAAAAAGAAAGAAAGGGAAAAAAAAGGGGTGGGGGATGCAAACAGAAATCAAAAAGCCAAAAAAAAAAAAAGAAAAAAAAGAAAGAAAGAAAGAAAGAAGAAAGAAAGAAAGAAAGAGAAGAAAGAAAGAAAGAAAGAAAGAAAGAAACCACGGGGGAGTATCTTCTGATTCTGTAGACTTTAAGTCCCTTGACTTCCCCTGGAACTGGTCTGTCCAGCTGGTCTTCTGGGGGAGGGGCCTGCTGTGCTGATTTTCAGATGTTAGCACTTGGGGGAGCTGCTCTGCCCCTGCCTGGTGCAGGGCTCAGTGGGGGTTGTTTACCCCGTGAGGCCCCAGGAGGAACAACCGCAGTGGCGGGGCCAGCTCTGGAGCCCTGGAGTCAGCCCCCGCAGTAACTACAGAGCTCTCAGCCTGCAGGGCCTGGAGGCTCCGGGGCGGGGCCGCTGATGTGCTCGGCTCGGGGCAGGAGCGTCCTTGCTGTCCTGGGCCCTCCCGGCCTCTGCCTGTCCCGGGGGGAGGCCGGATCCTGGGCTGTGTCCCGGCGCCCTGTGCTCCGGGGCCTGCGCTGTTGGATTTGCACTCCCGCCCCGCAGCCCCCTCCGCGGAGCCGCCACCCGAGCCCCTCCGAGCTGCTCCGGGTCCCGCTGTGCACGCTGCAGTATTTTAGGGAGCTCAGCCGCGGGATGAGGCGCACTCTCCCCGGGGCGCAGGTGTCTGTTAGTGTCCCCGGGAGCCCGAGGGCATCCCCGCCCTCCCGGGTCCTGCTCTAACTCCCTGCGGGCCCCTTTCCGCCCGGGAAGGTTGGTGCAGCTCCTGCTCCTCCGGGACGGGGCTCTCCTGTCCTGGGGACACTCGCCCCGGCCTCAGCCCGGCTCCTCGCGGGGCCCCTCCCCCTCGGAGGCCTTTTGTTTCTTTATTTCTTTTTTTCCCTTCTTCCTACCTTGATAGAAGCGCGAACTCTTCTCACTGTAGCATTCCAGCTGATCTCTCTTTAAATCTCAGGCCGAATGCGTAGATTTTCAGGATGGTTTGAAGGTTATCTAGGTAATTTGATGGGGACAGGTGATTTGGGGACCCTGCTCTTCTGCCATCTTGCCCCTCCCCTCTAATGTCAATGTTCTTTATCAGATTAGGGAAACCTGCTTCTAGTTTTCTGAGAGATGAGGTATTAAATTTTATAAAATGCTTTTCTACATCTATTATAATAATAACAGATTTTTTTGTCTCTATTTTTTTCTAAAATGTAAATCAACCTTTATTAATTACTAAAATAAATTCCAATTGGTCATGATGTATATCCTTTCTGTATATTCCTAGATTTCATTTTCCCTGGTGTTATATAAGGTTGCTATTCACCTTGTTTATTCCTGGAAAAGCAGGAAAAGTGAGTTTGAGTTTTCTGTATGTTCACACAACACACTCTATTTATGCTCAACTGTATCTAGCCTGTATCTAGATGATAAGATAAGACTTTGGGTTCCTTTCAAACAGCAAATGAGGTGAAAGAAAGAAGAAAGTTTAAAACTGTATATTAGGAGACACACAAAGATTTAATCTCATAGCATCTTTATTCCCTTTGCATGGTCCTCAAGGTATATGCTCCCAAAAGTTGCTCTAATGACAGGATAATAGTGAAATGCTAACTATATTTTTCACTTATTTCATTCATTAGCATGCTCTCAATCTTAACTGGATCAGCCAGCTTCTTACATATGATACGCAGTTTGGTAGTGCATTCTGTATAGTAAACATGTGTTATGTCCATATATCCACAATACATGCTATCATTTACATCATTTGTGTTTCTTATAAACCTGAAAGAGAAAATAAAGAATTACACTTGGCAAGTCAAACATTTGAAACACATCCATAGGAAAAAAGATTTACCAATATATCATTGCTCCTGGGTCTGTATTATCTAAAATACATTTTAATTATTATTTGGAATATCAAGAGTGCCCAAGTTACTTATATTTATCAACAAATATGCAGTATCAAACACTGCCTTACTTAATCTGCCTTTTCCATTTTTTTTTACATCTGGACTACTTGCTGTCCTTTACTTCCAGATGTACCATCTCCCTTCCTCAATACTTAATATGATTTAGAATAATACAATTCTATTAAATCCCCCACTCTGGCTTCTCTGGTAAATCTTCAACACCGTCTCTTCAAATATTTTTCATAATCACCCAAGTCAGGAATTAACGTATGATATCTTCAGTTCAACATCATCTCCAAGTAACATTTCCCTCTAACCATTTTTCAGGGATTTTATTCTGAAGTTCTTGAATAATTATGAGCTCCTAATACAAGATTACTGAGCAGGGACTATGCATCGAAGGCAAACTTGTAAATTGAAAATATTATCCTTTGGTAAAAATATAGTTTATTAAATACTTTGGTCAATAAATAATGATCATTAATAAAAATGGTTATCAATTAATTTTTCAAAAGCGAAATTTCCTATTTGAAGTGACATGATACAGATGTCATTGATCATAGCCCCTTTTGAGAAACACATCCCAAAATACATTAAGAAAAAAAAAAGGAAATACATTGCCTACACATATATAACTCTATATTATATACCTATCTAATGTATTATATATATACATATATATTATTATGTACTTTTTATTTAGGTATTATTTCTTAACAATTTGAAATATATGATGTTTTCTATTCCACTATAGATTACCTCCCCATTAGCAATAATTACAAATAAGCACATGGAAATTCTATTTTTTCAAAACAAGATTCCATCTGTACTCTCCTCTGATGCACACACTGCCTTCATCTCTAGTCCCTTTACTCCAAATGAGATCTTTAAAATATACTTTCTTCTGTCCTCCATTTGTACACATATATTGTCCCCTGCTCTGTCCCATCATTGTAAACTGCCAAAGACAGAACTGCCTTGTCTTTCTGACCCATATTCTCAGGTCTACTATTTGTCTGAAGGAAAATGCAAACATAACAATAAAAACTTGTATTTGCTTCTCACCCACTGTGGGGAGTGTCCAGGAATCTCAGGGTTTAGATTTAGCGTGGCTGGACCCCAACGCAACTGCCCTGTGTTCACTCCTGCTTAATGTGCCCTCAAAGAACAAATAAGTATGAATTCATGGGCATGTTGAGGCTCTGGTTTCTTTCTTTAGTCTGATCCTGTCTGCTTCTCAAATTTAAAGGCTTATAAAATGCAAATGGAATTTCAGCATGATTTTTATGTACTCCTTGACTGTCCCCTCTCCTCCTATTTCAAGTAGAACAAATATAGCATATGAATCTATTCATAATGATATATTTATAACCAGATTTCCTAATATATTACAAAACAAATTATTCTTTACATACCATCTATGCAATATAACATGCCCATGTTCATTTTGTTCCCTTTACTAGAAATGTTCTAGTCTATTTATAAATTTTTCATTAAAAATGGGCATTTCAAGGGACACCTGGGTGGCTCAGTGGTTAAGCATCTGCCTTTGGACAAGGGTGTGATCCCAGGGTCTGGGATCGAGTCTCACATCCAGCTTCTTGCCGGGAAACTGCTTCTCCCTCTGCCTATGTCTTTCTCTCTCTCTCTTTCTCTCTTTGTGTCTCTCATGAATACATAAATAAATCTTAAAAAAATAAATTCCTTAATGACTTGTCAAGATAATGAGAATATTTGTGGTAATTTTTTGCATTATTACACACTTTAAAGAAGGCTGAGTTAAGAGAAAAGAGTTATTTGAGGGTGCGATTTCAATTGAAGCTATTTTTAGTTCTAAGCTACAATGCTCCTGGTGAAAACACTGTACTCAAACTAACTATAAAAATTGAAAAAGAACAAAAACTTACCAGTTGGAGGAGATAATCGTTTCATCCAGTTTCTGGTCATCTCTGTCATACTTGGGAGATAATCCCAGCCAGTAATTACGTAACCTCTTGGATTTTATAAATTCCTACAAGAAATAGAGATGTTTAAAAAAATAATTGTTTACCTCCCACAAAAATACTAATTGTCTCCCATTTCTGTACATTACCTCACAACATAATTTCTTACAAATTACTGTTTTAAAGTAACATTTTTGACATTACACTACTGCTTTTCTTTTACATTGTACTGCCATTAGAAAAAAAAAAATCTAGGGGATCCCTGGGTGGCTCAGCAGTTTAGTACCTGCCTTCGGCCCAGGGCATGATCCTGGAGTCCCAGGATCGAGTCCCGCATTGGGCTCCCTGCATGAAGCCTGCTTTTCCCTCTGCCTGTGTCTCTGCCTCTCTCTCTCTCTCTGTCTCATGAATAAATAAATAAAATCTTTTAAAAAAATCTAAACAAAGTGCTCCTTACTGTAAGATTTCTTCTGACAGTTATTTATCAGTTACTGTTTCACAAGGGAAAGTATCTACCATTCCATGCATTACTTTAACTTAAGGTCAATGAAGGTCACAAACTTCAAGATTCACGTATCCAGTAGAAGTTAGTCCAGGAGCAAAAGATGTGGTTAATTAATATAAACACAAGTTAATAGAAACAGAAGAAGTAGGAGAAAAAAACCTATCCAAGTCAAATGAGAAGTGGTTATAAAGTAGAATTTAGATCCAGTCCAGAATTTTAGAGCCAAAGTTCTTTTTTCCTCATATTCCAGACATTTTTTGAGTGACTAACTAAGATGGATCAGTTGAGAATGATTAGATGAGGATGATATTATGGTTTGATTTCCCCCACAGCTGTAAAGGATGATAGAGATTGTTACAGTAGGGAAGCTGACACTTTTGGGAAAATGAATTTTTTCCTTAAATAATATGTGAATACTATCTGAGAAATCAGAAGTGCTGAAGAATAAGTAAAATATGGGGATTCTATTTAGATACTAGAAAAAAGAAAATAAATACATAAGTACATAAATAAATCTTCCAGAGAACTCACTCTTCCTGGGACCCAGGGAGTCAGTATAATATATCTGCTTAACACTTGCCTTTGACATCCCATCTTAATTCTACTTCTTCATACATATTTTATCCATCCTATCCTCTTATTCTAGTGTATGCTAGCTTTTTCTCTTAGGAAAAAAAAAGACAAAATGTAGCAACAGAGATTCTTCTCTTATCTAGATTTTACAGAATTGGTAACCCTCAGGAATGATCTCCTGATCAGCTGTTTTTAGATAAATTCTCAGAAATTATGTTCTGAGAGTTGATCCTAACATTTCATTTTGGAAATGTTCACAGACCCAAAGACTGGGCACTCCATATCTCCCCATCTGTCTGGCCTCTGAGATTTTGCTGATGTTAACATCCTAAGCTAAGGTTTTAGATGACACGTTGGCTATCCTACCCTGTAATAAATGTACTAAGTCTCAGCCACTTCATACTCTAACTAAATTAAGCCAGAATCATGTCTGGATTAGCGCAAATCTTCCCCAATATGTCTCATTCCTCTCTATTCTATGATGGGAAAAGTGGCTTCCTTCTTCACAGACAGAGATCCATGGGACCTTACCAATACGCTTTTATTCTTAATTGTCAACAGGCTGGCATTTTGAGCAGAACAGAACATGACACTCTCTTGCCATGTTTCATAACTGTTCTTTAGTATATAGCAGCTGTCCTCATGCCACATCCATGTCTTTGGACAAGGTTTACATTTGTGCTCTGGAAGAAGAACATGGTTTCATTTGGGTTGTCTTGATAATCTCCATTATTCTTATTATTCCCATTGTTCTCTATGTTAAATTAACCAAATTTACTTGTCTTTCTTCTTTTTTACATGAAAGATGAAGAAAATGCATCCTCAGTCCAAAACATAAAGAACACATTCCAAATTAAATGTTCATTGTATTCCAGCATATTTTCTTACCTCAAGAGTCCTGAAAAATGATTGATTAACTTATGTTTCTTTTTCATTTTTTATAATACTACATGGCAATAAAGGCTAATCACAAAAACATTGTGTAGTAAGAATCAACCCCACCAAAAAAAAAAAAAATCTTACAGCAGCCCTGCCTTCTCTAACTACAGCATTTCTTGCTGCCTGGCATTGAATATCTGGGGGAGTTCTCAAGAGCACCAAGAACAATTTTTAGTTATAATAGCTATAGAAACTGTTAGATATATTTAAAAAACAATTCCTCCTAACTCTAAAGGCAAAGCCTAACTCTTTCTTTTCTATTGATTCTCATCAAACATTGACTGAAATTTAAGAATAAGATCACCTATAAAGAAGAAAAGACTCTTTAAATCCTTTAAAAAGGATATAAAGAGGTGACTTATGATCTCCTCCCTATCTTCTGTTGACCTCAGTGCCCAAATAACAGTAGTGAATGTCAGATTAGAGAAACTGTATACTGTCTGATATTTTATTAACTAACTCTCAGCCTCTGATAATTTGGGGGTCTACAGGTATTATTACTTTTCCTGTTTTTCTTCTTACTGCAAGGAAATATCAGTGAGTCCTCTGTCAATCACATTTAATTCCTTTCTCCAAATAATGGCATCCTAGGGAAAAGCTGTTACCTATTGATGAAATGATTTTCAAGTGACTCCTAGGTTTTGTTCATTGTCTAATAAATAGCTTAGAGAGGAATGTAGGATTACCTGGTTCTCTTTTGTAGAGCTCATGACATAATTTGGTGGCTGTTACTTGCAGTGTGACAGATAGGTTCCTGATCATCTTGGAACTATTCATGTTACTCATTAGTTGTAGAGAAACATTTCTCTGAAGTTCTTCTTTGAAATTTTGTAGTTTATTCAATTTTCCCATTTCTATCTTCAAAGTTGTGTAAACTCCAGATTAAAAAAAAATAAATGATAAAAAAAACCTTCAACAACCCATCATCCTTGCTGCTGAACTAATATTACAAAATTAAAGGTCTAGGGAAGTAGTCCCTTCATGGGAGTGAGGGAAACTGACTACCGTGTTTAAGTATCTAGTTATCAATACCTTTTGGGGTTTTATCACCAATAATCATTTCTAAGCCTCAATTCAAAAATAAACTATCTTGTAAAACTCATGTAATTCTAGGTGTTAGCCCTTTCAATCAAAACATAGGTTAGTACATACATATGCTTCCTAAGACTCCTAGTCCAATCAGCAGCAGAAGGCATAGAAGAGCCAAGACTCTCTGACACCATCCATGGGAAGGAGCAGGTGGTGCTGTGAAAAGCAAAATTAGTAGACAGGCCTGGAAATGGTATACATCTTTATTCAAATCATTCATTCATCCATCCATCCATTCATTCATTTTACCTTTATTTCTTTCCTAACATGTCTCTGGTAAAGAAATGTGTTTTGCTAGAAACTCAAGGACATTTTAAAATTTCTAGAGAACACATAAAAAACATTTTATTCATGTTTTTGCATGCAAAAGTGATTCTCAATGGAGAAGCTGTTAATTGGTAGGCTGATTCAAGAAACAAAGAGGAAAAAATGGGCTTTAAAAAGAGAATTGAGAAAACCAATCAATCTGGATACAATATACAAATCTGGGGAAAATGGGTAGCTGGGAGCTAATAGGTCATTCAGAGTATTCCTTCTGTGAGTGGACAGTTGTGAATGACAAAGCAAATAATTTCAATTATGTATGTCCTTCTCCCCAGTGCTGAGAATTTTCTGGGAAACATAGATGATAGAGTGTCTTTTGTAATATCTCCATGTGTCCTCCCAACAGCCAGATCTTAGGCCAGATTGACTTCATTTTCTTATCAGGATTTCTTCATAGTTTTAGCAACAAACTTCTGTTGGTATTTCTTTTTTTGCCAAACACTAAAGCCCCAAAACAGATCATTCCCCTTTAAAAAAAAAAAGGAGGAATCGTAAACTTTATATTATAAATTAATCATTATTAAATCACCACCTGATTTAAATTATCATCATTTGCGTATGTGAATACTAGATGTTTCAAAAATATAATTCAAGAATAATGTGATAACCTTATTATACCTCTGGTCTTTATCCTACATCTCTTAGTTGCTGATGTAATAATATTGTGAAATATAGAAAGAATTGAAAGTGAAATGTAAAATGACTTCTAGCAATAGTTAATGGTGAAAGAACTAGATAGTCAAGGTCTTATTGAAGGTTAGAAGTGTGGCTTCAAGTACTATCTTTTGTAAGAAGTATATTCTCATTTATTTATGTATACAATTAGACTAAAGTTATGGGTTCAATATCTTCTATATACTACACATTATTCTGGGTGCTCACAATACAGAAGTGAGCAAGACATATAAGTTCCTGCTCTCATGAAGATACATTATAATTGTGAGAGAAAATAAATAGATAGATAATAGAGATGATAAATGATAGATAGATTAGATAGATGGATGATAAATAGATTATAGGGATCTCACATTGTGCTATGGTATACACAGCTTTAAGACAGTTATATTATGGAGAGCATGTAGTTTTGATCTTATGGCCAATGGGAATGTGCCTGCAAAATCAGTGGGAAGAACATTATAAGCAGCAAGAGTATCTAGTTAAGGAAACCTAATCTGGGAAAGATCCTTACCTATTTGAAAAATAGAAAAAAAATTCAATGGCTAAAAAACTGTGGCCAAGGCAAGAAATGATGTTCGAGGAGGTAAAAAATGCAGGAGACAGATCACCTACAGGCTTTGTTAAACCAGAGGGGATTGGACTTCTTTTGGAAAACCAATGGAAGGCTTTAATGAAGACAGGAAAATAATTGAGGTTTTTTTTTTAAGATTTTACTTTATATGGACAATGAATTAATTATAGAGTAGCAATGTTGGAAGCGGGGAAAATAGCAAGAAAACTACAGTAGCATGCCATGTGAGAGAGAATAGTAGTTTGTTTTACTAAGATTAGATAATGTGACCACCCATGAATTGATTAAAAATACATTTTGAAGTTAGAATCTATAATACAAATTTATGAAATGTTTATGAGAGATCTTTTACTTGATAAGGGGGTGGATAATAAGTATGCACACTTATAGGAAGTATAGCATAGTGATTTTTTAAAAAAAAGCAAAATTATTCCTGGGGCTAATATGTCTGAGCTTGAATGCTGGATCTACTGCTTATCATGTCAGATATTGGACAAATCATTTGCATCTCTGTATCTTAGTTTTTGCATGCTAAAATAGAATGCCATAAAATATCAGAGATTAAGTGATTTAATATTGGTAATACAGTTAGAACATTGATGGCCTATAGCAAACACCTGGTGATTGTATTAAATATGAATTTATATTTATATCTAGTGAAATGAGGATGATTGGGGAAAGGAAACAGTTTTAGAGGAAAAAAATTTTAAATACAAAACTTTGGGGTACAATGTGGTTTTGAATGTTATATCTTCCAATATTTCTTTGTCTCTTTTCTTTCTTCAGGCCTCTATGTGTCTTTTCATTTAACTTAAACTCCAAAAGAAATAGGAGAAATTGGGGGGTAATATATACTTGACTTGGTAGAAAATCAAATGACATTTTTAGAGGTCTCTCTGTCTCTCTTTTTGTCTCTCATCTCTGTTTCACACACATATACTTCATTTCTTTCTTTTCTTTTTTTTACTTTTCTTCTTCCTCCCTTCTTCCTTCCCTCCCTCTTTCTTTCTTCCTTTTTCTTTCTTTCTTTCTTCTTTCTTTCTTTCTTTCTTTCTTTCTTTCTTTCCTTTCTTCTTTCTTTCTTTCTTCTTTCTCTTTTCTTTCTTTTCTTTCTTTCTTTCTTTCTTTCTTCTTTCTTTCTTTCTTTCTTTCTTTCTTTCTTTCTTTCTTTCTCTTTCTTCTTTCCCCTATATCTAGGCTCAACATATGGGAATTATGGTGCATGTATGTATCTAAGTATTTTGTAACCTCCAATAAACATTATTTTTTGCATTTCTAAGTAATAAGTCAGATTTTGGAAATATTAATCCCATTATATGACTGCAAGAATCACTTTAAAATAAATTATCATGCTATTAAGTTCTTCTCAACAGTTTAACCAAAGCAGTCACTTCTTAAATACCATACTTAAGATAAGCAAATTTAGTTCAAAATATATCTCATACCTAGGGAAACTGAATTAATTAAAGATTTATTAAAAAGAGCTATATTCCCATTCAACTATAATATTCCCTGAGTTATTTAGAATTTTCTAATTATTCAAAGCATGAATAGACCTAACAGCAAGCTAAGGAGAAGTGATATAATCTGATTTATGTAAGTAAATGAATAACATGTCTGGACACCTGGATGGCTCAGCTGTTCAGCAACTGCCTTCAGCTCAGGGCATGATCCCTGGGTCCGGGATCGAGTCCTGCATCAGGCTCTCTTCAAGGAGCCTGCTTCTGCCTCTCTCTCTATGTCTCTCATGAATAAATAGATAAAATCTTTAAAAACTCCTTTAAAAAATAGCAATAAATAAATGAATAATATGTCTAACAGTGTAGTAACATGCTCATTCACAAAATTCCAATTTATAGGTCTGAATACTACCGTCTCACTCTTTTATCTCTAGTTATAGTTTAATGTTGAAATAAAATTCCTCACTGTTTAGTTTTAAGTTCAGATTCTTCCACTTAGTCATACATGGCTACAAAGGATCACTTAGTATCTTTTTATGAATAAAATTTGATTTGTTTGATGGTAGTGATCAAACTGGAGCAGCTTAAAAGTAACAGAACTTTAATTCCTTCTAATATTCCTTTCAGAAAAATATTCTCAAACTTATTTATTATTGTCATTCTTCTTGAGATTCCCTCATTTTGATTTGTGGTCCCCAGAACTGAAAAGTGTGGCCAATTTTAAATATTAGGGAAATATATAATGGGACTAAATGAATAAATAAAAAATGAGCAGTGAAATTCTGGCCGATAAAAAAACATTTTGTGAGTATATTTCTCATCTTTATCTATCTTTAATTTAAACCTCATGAAATAATCATTAAACATGTTAGCCTTTTCAAAATGGCACATGTATTCACTAAATTATGGCTGCAAGCTCATAATTAAATATGCCTTGTTATCTCCATTTTATAGATGAGAACACAGACTTCAAAAGGTCAAATGATGGACTTAAATGTCCAATGGACATCCAATAGTTTCCAAAACCTCTCCTCCATAATTCTGATGGGTCAATAGAGAGTCTTTCCCAATCCACAGACATGCATGTGACACTCAAGCACCCCATGTACTCCCTGAAGCCACTGTTGCTTTCCTGTAAAACAGAGATGCTCATTTCTACCTAATGAGGATAGGATAGTGCCTATCACATAGGAAGAAAGATGAGAGCCAGTTTTACCATTATATTTGTGAGTAGCATTTTCTTATAAAAAAGAAGCACTTACAAAACCATGACTTTCCCCCTTGTTTTACAGGGGAAAAAATGTTTCATAATCCAATAAAATCAAGCCATTATCCTATCCTAATTATCTTGAGTATGGCATTACAGCATAGAAACATTGTAAAAGGTTGAGTATTCAATGCACTAATTAGCACCTTTATTTTTTTTAATTAGCACCTTTAGTAAAAAAAAAAAATCAACCCTTTATAATTATTTTGTGCATTAGTAATTTTGGTAAAAATGGGAAGCTCAACCTACAACACATCCAAAGCTCAAAATCTTACCTTTTGTCCCAACTGTGTCAAACTCGTGGATATTTTCCCCTTTACTGGAGTCCTGAAATTTTAGATCTGCATAAGTAACTTCTTCAGACATTGATGGCTATGAAAAGATAGCCCAACAAACTATTAAAAAAAAAAAGATGAAGGTGAACCAACAAAGTTGAATGTTAAACAATAATTATGATTTTAAACTTCTGTTTATAAACCAAAGCTTAAGTTTATAAGCTTTAACTTCTCTTTTCACTGTCCCAATCCTGTGTGTATACAAAGGAGCTACAGCCTATCAGAGGCCTCAGACATAGTTGCAAGAGTGAAAGTCGTTCTTCCTCTTATACCTGTTCCTTTTTCTCATTTCTCTATATCTGCCAACTACAGAAATAGTTTTAAAAATTGTCTTGGATATTACTAGTGCCATGTAAGGGGGCACAGATCACTAGAGACATGTGCAGATATAACATAGAATTTATTGGAGAAAAACCTTCAAGCAGAGAAAGAACAGAAGAACACAGTCCTCAAACACTCAATGATTCTACAGCAATGGCCCGGTGCAGATGTTTTGTATGTGTCATGGCAAAGGTTGTAACAGAGATGATTTGCTTTTGCTGGGAGACTTCATATACCCAGAGCACTCCCAGGCAGAGGCAGAGGACAAACTGTACTTTTTAACTCTCTTACTTAGGGATAAATTAGTCTAAGAGGAGTTAGGGAACACCTAGTTTTTCTAGTAACAAGAAATATACTAAAGGAGCCTGGGGACCAGGAACCACACCATGCATAACTGATGGCCAAAATGTATAAACCAAAGGCCCTAGGAATTTCTCTGTAGTCCAGGAAAGCTGAGATTAGTCTTACTGTCACTCTGCAGACTGCCTCAATCTTTTTTTAGCCAGCTCCCAGCTAAAGTATACCAAAAGGGGGAAACAAATATGGCTCCAGAGTCCTGCAAAGTCAGGATCTTATAGAGTCAACTCAGCATTCTTAGGAGGCAGGGGTCCATTCATTTACTGGTCAAATGTACAAAATGGAGGTGGGGGCTTGGGAATGATTGTTTTTGAGTAAGTTCCTTCCTAATTCTTATTAGTAAATCTTATATTTTCAGTCACATAATTGAGTTGAAAGACCACAGTGATAGTGACATATTAGGTTCAAAAAAAATATCCACAGTTAGGATCAAAAGAGAAAAAACAAGTATATGCATTAAAAGAGGAGTTTGAAAAGGATGAAATAAAGGGCCAATTTGTAAGATGTGCATAGACTTAAAGGAATAAATATAGGGAATATATATATTATCATTATTGTTATCATTATCATCATTATTATTATGAGAATTGGCTTGCATGATTATGGAGGCCAAGAAGTCCCAGGATCTGTCATTTGAAAATTGAAGAACCAGGAGATCTGATGGTGTCATTGTCTGAGTCCTAAGACCTGAAGATTGAAGGTTGCAGGGGAGTAGAGGATGGGGAGGCCAATGATAGAAGTCTCTGAGTCAAAGCCTGAGAACCAACAGCTCCAATGTCCAAGTGTAGGTGAACATGGATATTTCAGCTCAAGCAGAGAGAAAGAAAGGGAGAATTTGCCATTGTCTCTCTTTCGATCTCTCTCTCTTTTGTTCTAAGCAGGCCCTTTATAAATTAGATCATCTAGATTGGTGAGGACAAGTTTCTTTACCGAGTCTACTGATTCAAATGCTAATATCCTTAGGACATACTCTCACAGACACACCCAGAAATAATGTTCTATCAGCTATTTGGGCACCTTAGTGCAGTCAAATTGGCACATAACATTCACCATCACAGAACCTATAATAGTAACTAGCACATATGCACTTCATATAAAGTAGCAAGTTGGGGTAGAAGGAAAGTGGAAAAACACAGTTACAAAAAGCCATCACTAAATATAGTCTCTCTACATTTAACAGAACATGTGATCTAAACTAGAATCATAGCTTTCTTTTCATACCATGTTCATATTTCCCTTATCTTATTCCAGCATCTTCTTTACCATAATTTGACATCCCCCTGTAATTTTCTATCAAATGCCAGACATTGTATGTAAAAACAGTTAAGATTATGAATGATATCTTTCAATAAAAAGGTTGTTTTTGTTTTGTTTTTCTGTTTTCCTGGCAGGCAGGTACAATAGAAGCAGTAAATCTCAATCAGTTGGAATCTCTCAAGTTTTGTCTTGTTGGGTTCTTTATTTTTTTTTATTTTGTTCAACATTTATACTGATTTTGTTGTAGGAGACTTAATGTGATAGTAGCCACAGTTCTATGTCCAGAACTAAAGATGTCCCAGCTGCTTATCATATAAACCCCCCTGAGCATATGTACAAAAGCTAATGGTCAGACAATACATCTATACCAGTTTTTCTGAAACATGTGTGAGGGACAGTATCATAGATGCGGAAGGAATAAGTTACTAAACTTCCCTCTCAGCCTTCACACTATGGAGTAACGCACAGAAATTGGGAGTTTGAGTATCAAACTCTAGGTAGGAGAATTTTTTAAAAGATTTTATTTATTTATTTGAGAGAGAGAGAGAAGGAGAACAAGCAGAGGGAGAGAGAGAACCCCAAGCAGACTCCCCACTGAGCAGGGAGCCAGACTGAGGGCTTGAGGCCAGCTCCAGGTGGGGCTCCGTCTTAGGACCCTGAGATCATGACCTGAGCAAAAGTCAGACACTTAACCAACTGAGCGACCCAGTCTCCCCTCCAGGTAAGAAATTCTAATGCCACACAGGCATTTTAGTTTTAGGCACATGGCTAGGGAATGAGCAGCTTCTTTGCTGGCTTTATGAAGGGCTATATTTTAAGAATTTTGGTCATGATGTTATAACACAGGGAAATCTTGCTTCTTCCCTATGCTGCTGCCTGGGTATTTTCACCACAGAAACCACCAGCCCACCCCTTATGTCTGTAACAGTAAGCTGTGTCAGAACCCTCATGTGAGTCCTCACTCAGGAACACCCTCCAAATTGAATGTCTTAAGTGCTCTCCTGTAGCTAGTTACTTTGGAGACTTACAGGGACTAAACCTGAAGCAAATCAATATTGGATGAGTTCATCTTCTCATCTCATTCTTGTCTTGATTCTAAAGTGTGGCTGATATTTATTCCATTGCAGTTGAGCGAACACTTCAACCTATGAAGGCCATAAGGCTGAATCACTGGGACAACAGCCACTGCAGGGAGAGACTCCATTACCTTCAGCATGTAGAAAATGAGAAAGTATGTCACTCCTGCTTTTACAACAGAATAAACCTGGATAATCTGCAAATTCATAACTTCTCTTAAACTCCTCAGAGGTCTGAGGTCATGGGGCAGCCAACTAAGCTAACAAACACTTAAGGAAAGAGACAGGGCTTGCCTACTTGGGGTAAAAAAGCAACTCATGTAAACTATTATAAAAAAAATAGGGTAAAGCTTTTAACCAGTTGCTAAAGGCAGAGTGTGGGTTTATATGAGAGATAGAACCCCTAATTGCTGCAGACACAGCATGCAACACATCCACTTGCAGGCACTTTACAGACCTCACCCAATGCTGAATGTTTGAGAATGATGAAGGATTGGAGAGATGAACAGTAGTCACTGTACAAAAGACATGAAGTCCCACCTGGAAATGCCTCCCTATGGAATAAAATTCTTCCTCTCAGGCCACTAGTGGATTCATTAAGTTGGAAATGAAACAGAAACGTTTTTATATTCCTGAGGAAAAAATCTGAAAAGTATCTTGATAGTATTTACACTGGCTATCAGACGTGCTTTGCTAAATGGAACTCCGGTTATTCACAGTGGGTACTTGCTTGACACACATCCTGTTTCACATCTCCATGTTTCTTCACTGTTTCTGTTACCCTTCAAATAAACAGCCTGCACTCAATTCTTCGGGTCCTATGTTGTCTTTTCCCATTTTCCCATTCACGAGTCCTTTCTGCCCTTGAAAGGGTAGCAATCCATCTTTCCTTTGCTGCATAGTCCTCTCCTACCCTCTGTCCCTAAGGGCTCTCTGATAGGCAAAAGCAGAGGACTGAGGAAAAACCCCAAACCAAGCCCCTGGAGCTCTTATCAACTTAAAAGATAAGAAAAGACCTAAGTAGGGATGTCGGATAAAATGCAATACCTCTAGTTAATTCTGAAACTCTGATTAAAAGTTTTTTTTTTCAAAGTAAGTATGCCTCATGAAACATTTTCATTTGTTGCATTTGCAATATTTGTTGTTGATCTGAAATTCAAATTTGACTGGGAATTCTATATTTTAATTTGCTAAATCTGGTTGGTCACCCTATACATAAACCTAAGGGGGGGTTGGCTAGAAAAACAGGAACAAATATATATATATATATATATATATATATATATATATATATATATATATATATGCTGCAAAAACTTTTCAGTGAGAAGGAAGGTTTATCCTGACCACCCACCCCGACATATGTTCTCCCTACCCCTCTGCACACATATCAGTTGACCCCTACATTACTTCATTTCATGTTTTTTCTTCATATTTATCAAGTATTTAGGTGCCTAGTTAATATTTTCCAGGAGACTGAAAGGCGTCAGGAAATTCATTGTGTTTACGGAATGGCTTGCTGCTAATACTTTAGACTCTGGCCTTCATAAGTCACAGAAAGCTGAGTGAATGAAGCAAGTGCATAGCCACTGATATGTCTTCCAGGTCGTTTGTTAGGAAAAGAAAGCTCATGGCACAAACTTCTAAATCCAGGCTGTCACAGCAAGTGAAGTAAAATAGTACAAGACTGAAGCACGTGTATTTATACACTGGAATGCTTTATCTAGTACTGAACATCTCTACCTTTATTTATTTCTCAAGGTTGGTGATGTGGTGGGGTACGGGCACTCCACAAGCCCAGTGCAGAGGTTGCTGAAGGTGAGATTGGCCAAGAAAATGTTGCCAGGCAAGAAACTCAAGCCCAGACCATATTTAGATCATTACCAACTAGGCTTTTTGCCTGGCAACATTCTCTTTACCAGTCTCACTCCAGCACCTGCTGCACCACCATATTCTTAGTTGTCACGCTTCAAAGCAGTTGGATTCTACATTTCACAAATATTGCTATTAATAATATAGTTGTTTTAGATTTTCTGTTTTATATCTACAACATTTAAATACTCCTTCTAAAGTAACTCATTTCAAAATTGAATACTAGAAACATGAACAAAATGAGGGGAAAATTTTAAGATATGGTACATTATGAAAAATCTGAAAAACCCTTTCTTAAATATCAGTTAATGACATAAGTAGAAGAAAAGCCCAGCCATGGGATTCCTGGAAAACACTGTATTTATTTAAAAAGTAATTTGTATAATTGGGATATTTCTTACGGTTCTGTCTCCCTCCCCTCCCACTTAGCTGGAACTAATCCTCAAGTTTATTGTCAAGGAAGAACTGTTAACCCACAATATTTATGAAGATGAGAAGAACCGCAGGCAGGGATCAGAGGATGGGGAAAGAGGCGTTTTGTAAGGACGGCAGCTCTATATGTACACAAATAACTTCCTTCTTTCCCTTAAACTCTCTGAATCTTTTCATTCCCCACATCTGGAGAGTTTGGGGTCAGTCTCACAGCTTTTGTGATTCTTTTCTATAGGAATAGTCTCATTTCAGAAATTATTATGTCCAGCATAATCTCAAAACTCAAACTCTTCATTTAAACTTAAACCTCAATTTAAAACCATTACCCTCCTCATCTGTACTATTCCAGACTTGATAGCCCACAGAAAATGTGATGTGCTGCTTTTTCTGACCCCACATGGGGGAGAGAAAACTGAAAAAATGAAGCACAGCTGTGTGCTGATGGCTTCCTTACTGAGTGATTTTGTAGGTTTTTCAGAAATCTTATTTAACTGCTTCTTACTTCCCCTCAGAGATTTTTCTCTTGACCTGGAAGATATTTCTCTTACTCCTCATTTTGGGAGTTCTATAGATTCTTACTTATTAGGGTTTCATCGCCTAGAGTCCTATTGGATATCCTTCTTAAAAAACTGTGGCTAAATATACAGAATATAAAATTTCCCATCTTAACCATTTTGAAGCGTACAGTTTAGTAGTGTTAAGTACAGTTACATTGTTGAGCAACCAGTCTCAAAAGCTCTTTTCATGTTGCAAAACTGAAACTTTATACTCCTTGAGAAACAACTCCCCCACCCCTACCCCCACCCCCGTACCTGGGTATCATCCTACTGCTGTAGGATGAATTTGAATTTGACTAGTCTAGTACCCTCATATAAGTGGAGTCATAAAGTGTTTGTTTTTTCATTACTGGCTTCTTTAACTTAGCATTATGTCCTCAAGACTCATCCATGTTGTCAGAATTTTCTGCCTATTTAAAGATGAAGAATATTCCACTGTATGTGTAAGTCACATTTTATTAATTCACTCATCAACAGATCCTTGGGATACTTTCACCTTTTGGCTATTGTGAATAGTGCTGTTATGTACATGAGGTTTGCAAATATCTCTTAAAAATCCTGTTTTTAATTCTTTGAGAATATATACCCAGGAATAGAATTACTGGATCATGCAGTAATGCAATGATTAATTTTTGAAGGACTACCATACTGTTTTCCATAGCATTTGCACCATTTTACAGTCCCACTAATATTTAGCATGGGGTCTACATTGTAGTAATAAATCCTTAATGCCCTAATCATCAGATTGAGTAGACAAAAATAAGCATGGGAGGGAGATACACACGTACACTCCATTATGGAAGCTCCTCCCCCCATCTCATCTAAATCCAATTACCGGGATGTGTGGATGGCTCAGCTGTTGAGTGTCTGCCTTTGGCTCAGGCCATGATCCCAGAGTTCCAGGATCAAATCCTGCATTGTGCTCCCTGCATGGAGCCTGCTTCTCCTTCCGCCTGTGTCTCTGTATGCCTCTCATGAATAAATAAATAAAATATTAAAAAAATAAATCCAATTGCCTATCAAAAATTTCATTTCCTAATACCATCAGATTAGGAAGGTAGGGTTTCAACATATGAATTTTGTAAGTACACAGTCCATAATATATGTGTAAAGTATATATGTACATGATGTATTTTTATGTATATATGTGTATATATTTTTATTTTTATATGTACCTTTGCAAAAGAATGTATGTATTAGGGGTGAATGTGTATTACTTTTTATGGTCTGATTGCACAAATTTCATATGCCCTGATTTAATTAAATGACACCAACTACATGTCTCAAATTTTAGTTTTACAGTATACTTATGCATATTTATATTTACAGTGTATTTACTCTAATTGTATAAAGTAAAAGCTTCACTGCTAGTTTTTCAGCCTACAAGTCACGATGTGTGAAACAGATACGCATTGTGAACAATGACCAGTCATGTCATGTCCTTGTAAGTCTGTCAATGATTGATTAGTGTGCATCTGTCTTTAAATATAAACTTATGTTACCTCTTCACCTCACAGTGATAAATTATTTGATATTTTACAAAATTTAGGCAAAAGGGGGAACTAGCTAGTCAACAATTATGAAAATGCAGCAAAGCAACAAAAAGCAGTAATGCTGAAAGTCAAAGTCAAATAGAAAATAGAAGACAAGTAGAAAGAAATAGATTGTCATGAACATGTTACTTCTACTTTTGGACAGATTGTAGATATGTAGTCAGAGGAATTTTGAAAGCAATAATCTACAAAAACAAGGGACATGGTTGTGATGAAAAAGATGGAGATGTCCCAGAGAAATTATATCCATAAAAATTTTATATAAAAGGGATTCTCAGAGATATTTCATGACATTCCAAATGCAAAAAATAAAATGTTGAAAGCCCATTCAAACTTAGAAGTATGAAAGTTTAAGAAAGTATAGAAAAGATACTGGCTCCATATTACACAGCAATAAGCAAGCCTGTTTAAAGTACTCCAGTTTTTTTAATTTAAAAAAATGTATTGAAGTATAGTTGATATACATATTATACTAGTTTCAGGTATACAACATAGTGATTTGACAATTCTACGCATTACCCAATGCTCACCACAGTAATTACCATGTGTCACCATACCAAGTTATTTTAATATTACTGACCATATTCCCTATGCTTTACTTTTCATCCCTGTGACTTATTGGTTTTACAAGTAGAAGTTTGTAAACTTCACCATTAGTATTCTCCATCCCCCTCTACCCTGGAACCTCAGTTTATTATTTATATTTATGAGTCTGTTTTTGTTTTAGATTCCACATATAAGTGAAATCATATGGTATTTATCTTGGTCATTCTTACTTCTTTCATTCAGAATAATACCTTCTAGGTCCATTCATGTCACGAATGGCAAGATTTCATCATTTTTATGGCTAAGTAATTTTCTATTGTGTATATGCTATATCTTCATTATCCATTCATCTATCAATGGACATTTAAGTTGCTTCCATATCTTGGCTATTATAAATAAAACTGCAGTGAACATAGCTGTGCACATAACTTTTCAAATTAGTATTTTCATTCTTTGCATAAATACCCAACAGTGGAATTACTGGATTGTATATTTCTATTTTTAATTTTTTGAGGATCTTCCAAACTGTTTTCCATAGTAGTTACACCAATTTACATTCCCACCAACAGTTCATGAAAGTTCATTTTTCTCTACATTCTTATCAACATCTGTTATTTCTTGTCTTTTCAATACTAGCCATTCTGACAGGTGTAAGCTGATATCTCATTATGGTTTTGATTTGCATTTTCCTGATGATTAGTGACATTGGGCCTCTTTTCATGTGTCTCTTGGACATCTGTGTGTCTTCTTTGGCAATATCTATTCAGATTCTTTGCCCTTTTAAAATATGATTATTTAGGCTTTTTTGGTGTTAAGTTGTATGAATTCTTCATATATTTTGGTTATTAATCCTTTATCAGATGCAACATTTGCAACTATCTTCTCCCATTCAGTAGGTTGTCTTTTTATTTTGTTGATGGATTCCTTTGCTGTGCAAAAGCTTTTTAGTTTGATGTAGCAAATAGTTTATATTTGCTTTGCTTCCCTTGCCTGAGAAGGCATATCTGGAAAAACGTTGGTAAGACTAATGTCCATCAAATTCTATCTATGCTTTTTTTTAAGATTTATTTATTTATTCATGATAGATGTAGAGAGAGAGAGAGGAATGAGACACAGGAGGACGGAGAAGCAGGCTCCACGCCAGGAACCCAACGTGGGACTCGATCCCGGGATTCCAGGAACGCTCCCTGGGCCAAAGGCAGGCGCCAAACCGCTGAGCCACGCAGGGGATCCCCTTCTATCTTTGCTTTCTTTTAGGAGTTTTATGGTTTTGGGTTTTATATTTAGGTCCTTAATCCATTTGAGTATATTTTTATATATGGTGTAAGACAGTGGTACAGTTTTATTTTTAAAGTACCTTTAGTAAGTTTTCAGGCTTTTTAAAAAAAATAAAAGCATTTGAATTCTCAGTGTTTCTGATGTTTTAAGTACAATGTTCTTAAAAATAGTTTTATAATATTTTTTATCCCCTGTATGTTTTTGAGGGAGAATAACAGGGTTTTGAATATTTTTAAAAAATTTTAAGTCAAGGAAGAATCATACTTTTCCCCTCTGATTATTAAAATAGTATGGCAGGCATGATTTTAGCTTCTGTGTCATTTTTATCATCCTATTCCACTGTGCAAAGGGAGGACTGCCTGTATATGAAACAAACTTTCATTCAAATACTATGAAAATATGTAAAAACATGTTTCTTTATATCAAATTTTCCTAAGCAGTCCACAGGTAAACTTAGAACTTAAAAATTAAGAATAGAAAAAAAATGTATTTTAAAAAGTCGGGAGAAGAGAAAAGTCACTTTGTGGTTCTGGCAAACATGCACAGGTTACAATATGTTGTAAAACTCTCTTTATTTGCGATTTTTAGGGAGACTATATAAAGGCGCCCCAAATGAGGAGCATGGGACTCTTCCTGCTCAGGAGAGTTAGCTGGTGGGAGGTAAGGAGCTAATCAGAGACTGAATTCTCAGAGACTGAATTCTCAGAGTCCTCTCGGCCGTCCAGCCAATCCCAGGCTGTTGAGCCCACACCCCCGGTAAAAGGGTAGCAGTTGGTGCTTGCCTGCAAGCCGTTACTGTTCCAGCCTCCTAGTCGAACAGCCTTTTCCATGAGCCTTGGAGATGGAAGGCGAAGCGATTGAAAATACGGATGGGGTGGAGGTTGTGGAGCAGGAGGTCAAGAGGCCAGGTAAGGGGGGCCACAGATCTTGCCCTCGGGTATAAGAACTGAGCCTCCCATGATTATCCTAGCTTCTTTTCTTGATTCCCAGCTTGTGTTCTTAGTAGTTTTGTTTTTGATTGTTCATAATCTGGCCTTTAAATAAAAAGGGCCATCATTTCATTAATGAAAAAAAAAAAGACTTCAAAGAAATGGTGGATCCACCCCTCTCCACCTGATTTTTCCCCCTTGGAAGAGGCAGCAATAAAAAATACCAGGATGAAGTTTGGTTTCCTGTTCTGGATCCAAGACAAGAAGATTGAGTAAGTAAAGTAGTTATCAGAAATGGCTCTAAAAAGTGGAGCCAAAGCACTTTTGAGACTTGCTGCTGAGAAGTTAGCTCTGAAAACCCTTTCTCACTTTTCTGATATTAATTGCTGTATTGTGAAGAGTAGCACATATAGAAGATAGAGAAAAAGGTAAATTTTACTTGAGTTTTCTGTTTCCTTGCTTGTTGCTTTTCTCTAGAATATAAACAATGACATGAATCTTCCTTAGGTATAATAACGAAGAAAATGCTAGTCATGTCAAGTATGATATGTGGAGGCATTGTTTTTCTTCTTTGGGCAATGTTAGGATTTCCTAGAAAATGTAAGTAAACAATTTCTGCTAAAAATATGTAAACTGTATTATTATTGCTTCAGTCTGATACCACTAACTAGCCTCTTCTTCCCTAACATTGAACAATTGGAATCAGAAAGCACTCTCCCAGCCAGAGCATCTAATTGCTTTTCTAACCTAGTCATCTGCTTTGCCTTCTATAAAGATTATTCTTTTCTTAAGTGTATTTATCTATTTATTAAAGTCATTTCTACACCCCAATGTGGGGCTCCAATTCCCAACCCACAGATGAAGAGTCACATACTCTACCAGATGTCCTATAGAAAGATTACTCTGTTAATATCTATTGAACTTTAGGCATAGTACCAGGAAATGATGCCACCAAAATTAAAAAAAAAATGAGGAGGGATTTTGGACTGAAAGGAATTAATCTTTGATGGAAGAAACAAGCATGTAAGCAAATCTAACAATAAAATAATTGCTAAATAGAAGAATGTTCAATATGAAGAAGGAGATTATAAGTCTGCTTTTGGTAGTCAAGCAAGACTTTGGGAAGCAAAAGGTATTTGTCCTGGACCTTAAAGTCAAGCAGGCATTTATGAGAGAATGCCTTAGATGAGAGAAAGAACATGAGTGTCAGAATCATATCAAGTGTAAATGTGATAGAGTTCAAAAGAAGTGGGTGAGGATTAGCAGTTGTATCACCTTTCCCTTACAGCTTTGTCTTACGCCCATAGATAATTAGTTTATACTTTCTTCTTTTTTTCCAGACCTTTAATGGCTCTTTCCTCATCTTCACTCTCAAGTCTATATTTTTGCTTTCCATTTTACCTCATAAATTATAATAATTATAGAAATTATAAGAAAACTTCCAAATTCTCTCATGACCATGACTACTTTCTTACCTCCATCCCTACCCATATACTCTGTCTAGAATCTTGGTACTGTAGAGTGAGCATTCATGTTCTACACTAGTTTCTATAGCTTCTCACCCAATCAGCTATATGACTATAATATTCCTCTCTCTCCTACATTATAGCTTTTCCACCCACAGCTGCAACATCCCCACCAGCAATGAGGATACGTAATGGTGATATCTCTCTCCCTACCTTAAAAAAATTCATTAGTCTTCACTCTTTAGCTACCAATTTCTTTCTTTTTCCTTCTGTTACAGCAACCTCCTTGAAAAAAAATTTTGCTAAGTTGTTCTAATTTCTGTCTTCCCGTTTTCTGTTAAATTTACTCTGGTCAGGCTCCACTTCCTTTTTCTTCTGCTGAATTTGTCTTTCAAGCTCATTGGCAACTTCTGCATTGCTAAATACATTCGATTCTCAGTTTTCCTCTTACTTGACTTCTTTGCAGCATCTGGCAGTCTCTCCTCCCGGAAATAATTTATTCATTTGTCTTCCAAGACACCATTCTCCCATGGTTTTCTTTCTTCTTGACTTATTGCTTCTCCCAGTTTTCATTTGCTTATCCTTTCATTTATCCCTGACATCTTAATTTTGGGGTGCCCTGGGGCTCAGTCTCTGAACAGATCCCTTCTTTATCTACGCTTGCACCTTTGGCAATCTGAACCATACTTACAACTTAGTCACATAAATTCTGATGACCTCCAAATACATATCTCCAATCTGGGTCTCTTCTCTGGATTCCAAGTTTTTAAATCCACCGAGTGGACTGTCTAATAAACTTCTCACTTAACATTGTCCCAGCTAAAATCTTAGTCTGTCTCTCTCTCACACAACCCCTCTATCTGTGATCTTCCTTATTTCAAAAAATAGCAACTTTGTCTTTCTAATTTTTAAACAAACCTTATAGTCGTATTTGACTCGTTTTTTCCCTCCCTCCCATATTCCCTCAAATAATCTGCAAATTCTTCCTGGTCTTTCAAAATATAATAGAATTTGTGTACTTTTCACTACTTTGCTATTACCATCTTGTACCTAGCCAACATCTTCTTTTCTAAATGTTCTTCCTTCTTCTGCCCTTTACCTCTTATAGCAAAGTTGTCCCATGAAAAAATGTGAGCCACAAATGTAATTTATATTTTAGAAGCTGCACTGAAAAAGTAAAACGCAAATGAAAATAGTTTTCATTGCATTTTTTTATTTAACCCAGTGTGAAAAGTAAAATAAAATGGAATCTTTTATGTCAAGGTGTTTTAAAATGTATCCAGGAGGTCATTAAGAAGGTGGGCCTTTACATATGTCCTCCTGAACTTTTGAGCTGGGCCTAACCCCAAATATTCCAAGGACTCTGCAAAAACTCCTGCAACTTGCTACAGTTACAGACTTCTGCTCATTGAAAGCTTTAGCCACCAGTTATGCTTAGCCAAGAGTAGTTTTCTGCTACCAGCACCAATTAAAATTCTTTGTAAACAATATATACAAACATTCCTTTTTTTGTCTTTAAAATCCCCTGATTTTTGCTTCCTAGTCGGATGCGATTTGGATTGCTACTCAAATCTATATACCCTGAATTGCAATTCTTTGCTTTAAAAAAATGTTTTTGCTTAATTATTGCCTCCTGACAATTTTAGGTTAACATTTTACCATGTATCAATGATATTTTTAAAAATTTTGCACTAAGTTTTTGATATTAAGTGTGTATTTTGTACTTACAGGACATTTAGAGTTGGATTAGTCATATTTCAAATGATCAATGGCCATGTGTCGCTAGTGGCTAAATTACTGGACAGTACACTTCTAGAATATATTTTAAACAAATTTTCAAAACCAAATCAGACATACTTAAAATACTGCAATAGTTTTTCATTCCTTGGCATAATGCCAAAATCTTGCCAGCGGTCCACAAGACTCTGTTGGATTCACTCACCCAATTACCTTTGTGATTTTATCCCCTATTACTTTTCCCTTCACTCAGTCTTCTTCAGTCATACAAGCATCCTCACAATTTTGTGAAAAGCCAGGCATTTCACCTTGGCCTTTGTACAGTTTCTTCTCTTTGCTGGGGATGATCTTCCCCTATACATGCATATCCCTCATTAGCCTACCTCCTTCAAGTGTTTAGTAAAATTATCCTCTGGTTAAATCCTATTCTGACGACTGCATTAAAATTGCAATTCTTTCCACCAGTAATCCTAACCTCCTTTACTCTAATATATTTTATAGCAAACTATATAATTTAGTAGATATGTGAGTACCATAAAAGCAAGGATTTTTTGTATGTTATGTACACTGTTGTATTCCTAGACATACAGAAATATCTGGTACATGATAGAAGCTCAACTGGTAGTTGATGAATGAATGAATGAATTAGTGAATGAATGACAAAACTTGAGTTTTCTGGTAACCCAGGTTCTGAACCAAGCACTTGAGTTTTGTACTATATTAGCTATTTATGTAAACTTGAAACTCTAAAATCATTTTGAACTTGATACTTACAGGTAATTTTGGTGACCCGATTTTTCCACTTGGCTTTAATACCAGGGCTCATATGAATTGTCCTACACCACTGGTTTCTTGTCTTGTTTGAAAATTCTCTTATTCATAGGCTTGGCTATGAAGCAGTAATTTATTTCAACTGTGAAGAGGTGTCCTTTTGGTGAGCCTTGTTTTTCTCAAGGCTATACCTTACCAAGTAACTTCATCTAACTAGTTGCATGCAGTAAGTTGGAAAATAAAAAGTGGATAGTAGAAAGGTAGTAAAATTCCAAACATTTTTCCTTGTATTGTTTTGTGTTTAAAAACAAAGCAACAACCTGAACTTCTGAGAGAAAGCTATTCTTTTTGGGGGGTGGGGCAGGAGGGGGAAGCTGTTCTTGAAAGACAATCTAGTCTCAATTAAGCCAGCAATAGGAAGCCAGTCCTCTAATGTTACGTGTATAGACAATTGGTTTATGTACATTGAGACATGTCCCTGGCACTTCAGCAAATTATAGGAAAAGAAATAAATGAATAGAGAAAATCCCAGTATTATAAATAAATGGGCAGAAACTGGCTAGAGATGATTGAGTTTCTTTGTTTGTTTGTCCACTATTGCTATCTTAAATAATGCATACACCTGCATTCTTCAATGCTGATTTCTTTCATGCTATGTTCTTGATCTTTTCTTCTTCTGAGTTGACTTTTGAAGTTAAATAATTTAAATTGAATATGGAAGTAAAATATATTTCCTCAATCTGAAACATATCTTTTATTCTGAGGGTTAAGACTCATCCTTTCTCTTACATTTTCTTCATTTTTTTCCACGACTGTGTTAATTTTAGTTAAAAATCCAAAGATATTTGAAGACAATACATGCTCTGAGGATGAAACTATATGTCCAAAAGCCTGGAACCAAATCCGTAATAATTGCTTCTTTCAATCTGAATATGAAAAAACTTGGATAGATGGCCAAGCAAACTGCATAGCCTATCGTGGATCTCTGGCCATATTCAACTCCAAGAATGAAGTGGTTAGATTTCTCCTTTGCAATATAAATCTCATTTAATTTATTAAGTAGCTATTCTATGACAGGTATACTTCAAGGGTGTGATCTATCAGTCAACAAAACAAAGATTTTGCCTTTATGAAGCTTGCATCCCAAAGGAAGAGACAGGGAATGAAAAATAATCATAATAAATATATGTAAATTACATAGTATATGAGAAGTTAGTAAATTTTGATATATGTATATATTCATATTTATATACATAAATAAAATATATGTATGATATAGAGATACATAAGTGATATTGAGTCTCTAAGTGGGTAGGCTGCAAGCTAGATAATCTTTTCTCATTGAGATAATGATACTAAATAAAATTGTAAAGTGGAAAAGAGAGTTAGTCTGAGGAATGAATATCTGGGGGATAAGCTTCCCAGGAAGAAGAAACATGTAGAAGATGGACCATGAGGTAGGTATATGCCTAGAATATTTAAGGAATAGAAAAAAAAAACAGCCAATGTGCCTAGAATGAGAGAGCAAGTGAGGGATGCAGATGGTTAGGGTCTTGGAGGCTATAGTAAATACTTTGGTTTCCCTTTAAGTAAAATAGGGAGATATTGCAGAACATGAAAGTGTAACATGATCTGAGATAAGTTTTAAAGGAATCATTTTATTTACTGTGATGTTAGTGAGTGGTAAATATGAAAGCAGAGTGCCATGGTAGAAGGCTGTTGCAATAACCCTAGCAAGAGAATAATGGGCCCAAAGAAGGGCCATAGCACTGGAGGTACTGAGAATGAGAAAACTAGGAGATATCCACTATAGTACCCTGTGTTTCATAAAAGGAATCTTTGATGCCTTACCTGGGACCTTCTTCATATTGGATTGGACTAAAGAAACTAAATGCAAGCACACCCTGGATGTGGGCAAATGAAGATGCATTCAACAATTGGTAAGCCTTAATAACATTTATTATTAAATGTGTTAAGCATGGTACAGATTCTAAGTCTATAATCAGCTACCCCTATAGTTTCCTCCACATTATCTCCCAAAAAGACTGTCAATATACAGATGCCCAAGAGAACCTTCAGACAAATATATAGCCCTTAGTGAGGGTTTGGCATCAAATATAAACATCTCCTTCTATACGGTATTTTGGACTGTATATACTACATGTGTACCACAGGTGTTCTTTTTATCCAAGACTAAACAAAAACTAGTTTGATCCTTGCCTCTTTCCACTTGAGGACTTGCTTCTGTTTGTTTGTTTGCTGTTGCTGTGGACTACCATTGATAGGGGAGTCCGAGAGAGTATACTCAAGCCTACACTTTCCACACTGAAAATGAAAATGATGTCCTGAAATGGAAGAGGTTGAGTGAGAGAAAGAAAACATATGCTCTAGATGACCTTTATTTAACATTTTCAAACTTTTCTATGTTCCTTAGCTTGGAGAACTTAATTATACTTCTTGCCTCCATTTTTGTTTTTAAAACATGTAACTTTTTCAACTTCAGAGAGAAGAAGGCAAAAGAAAGAATATTGAGGTCCCATGGAGGGAACCTCTAGCTGCGATTTATTTAGCACCTACTATAAATAGGAACTGTACTAGTTTTGTGGCATTTTGTGCTAGATACTATATGAAGCATATGACATGATAAATAGCAGGATTTTCTAATAACAGAGAAATTTCTGTTATTGTTTGAGGTGGAAATACACACACAATGATTTGAGGATAATAATATAGCCAACTTTGAAGAATATAAGGAAAAGTATGACATAAATTGAACTTTGGGCCTACCAAACTTAATACTTTAGTATTTTCTAGAGAGAAAATACTGGCAGTTTAATATGATATTATATATTATATACAGTCCCACTTAAAAAAAGATGAGGAAGAAGTAAAAACTAGAAGTTGGGTAAAGATGGTATATTAGTTGTCGTGGCAACTGTAACAAATATTGTAGACTAGACAGTGTACACAAGAGTTCTAGAGACTAGAAATTCCAGATCAGGGTTTCAGGTGGGTTTATTTCTTCTGAGGCCTCTCTCCTTGTCTTGTAGATAGTCATCTTCTCCCTCTGTGTCTTCACATGGTCCTCCCTCTTTGTACATGCCTATTTCTTCCAAATTTCTTTTTATGAGGACACCAGGAATGTTGGATTAGAGCTCTAGAGATCTCATTTTAACTTAATTACCTCCCTAAACACTTCATCTCTTATTATGATTGAGCTACTAGGGGTTAGGTCTTAAACATATGAATTTGGAAAGGACATAATTAAGCCCATAACAATTGGCACTAGGATATGCCTAGGCACAGAAATAGACATATATTTTGGAAATAAACAAAGGGTTTGAAGGTACCCTAAAAGAAAAGTGTACACCAGTGAGTGATACAAAGTTCACCAGAAAATGAAGTTGCTAAAAGCATTTTAATTGCCATAGAACTAGAAATCCATCATAACTCAACATTCTTTTTCTTTTCCTCATTTTGAATTTTCAATTGCATATGTTTCATATGACCTAAAATAGAAATTTAGAAAATATTTTCTAGATATTTTATGATTATTTACATTTTTCATAGTCCATCAAGTAAAGAAAACATATTTCAGTATTACTATGCTACTGGTTTCATAAAATGGATAATTGAACATCTACTTCAGCCTTAAGATAGATCAGTTTTTTAAAGGAGGAGGAGTCAATAAAAGTATCAGTTATACTTTCCCTGTATATGATCTTTAAATGGCTAAATATATTTATTTTTATTCTTATGTACAAAAGGAAGATTCTAATCCTTCACAAAGTGATTTGCAATGTTTACTACATTGTAAAACCATATTAAGTTCCAGAATTCTTTGTAGTTATGGCAGCGAAGTTCCTTGGTGTTTGTTTCTTCCCCCACCATCTTCCTGAGGTGATGAAGAGGAGACAAGCAGTTCATTGCACTCTCTCTACTCTTTTTTCATTGCACATTTTGAAACATGGTCACCAAAGTTACATATTTTAGGCTGTGCTTAGTTATGTTTCATGAGGTTCAGTAAATAATTAATCTTCTTATTTTGTTCCAGGTTCAAAATTGAAGGAAATGGAACGTGTGCCTTCATGTTTAAGAAGGGCATAAGCAGTGCCAGCTGTGATGATGCAATAAAATATATATGCAGCAGAGAAGCCCTTTGTCTTTAGATAAAGGGTCCCCCATAATAAAATAGTTAAAGAAAAATTATCTTTTATGCATTATAAATTCATATGGATATATTTTCCTTCCCATTAAACATATGTTTTAAGTTGCTTGATTAAATTTTAAATGACCTTTATCTTCATTGAAATAACTTAGATCTAAGAAGTCAAGAAGCTAAACTGAATTTTTACATGATATTGCTTAACCACATTAGTCGATGCGTCAAAGCCTAAGGGTGCAATGGTGGTCTTTGTTCATGACTGACTTAACAGCATGCTTCAGTGGAACAGATTGTAGGGTAAAGAGAAACGAGTGCAAGATTCCCCTACTTATCTGAAATTCAATTAAATATGCCTACAAAAGATAAGAGATAAGGCATGAAGTGAGCACTGGGTGTTCCATTCAACCTTCAGTGGTATGTAGCTCATTTAGAACTCAGAAAGAAAGCCATGGGAGAAGTAACCAGAGATTAATTAGGATTTCTTACTTTGCATCACCGTCAGAGACCAAATCCCCTGAAAATAAATTTATACAATTTTTTACGGTTTCTTAGATTTTTATTCAAGCCACTGAGCTGAAGAATTGTATTACATGGATTTGTTCAAAGATGCTGAAACCCCTGAAGGAATTGGGTTTTGGGATATGTCATGGTGAGCAAAACATGAGTATTTAGAGAGTAGAATGTGAGGAAAAAGCCCTGGTGACTTGGAGAAATCATGGATATTTCTCTGGTCTTTCACAGATCAGGAATCTGAGGGACCAAAAGTGAAGATCGACATCTAGTTTTCATTAAAAATTTGTGAACATTTTAATATTTAAATCTATATTTTCTTTTACATTTGTAAACATAACAGGTAATTATGTTTTGAGAAGACTTCATATCAATTTTTCTTAAATAATAAGCAAATGAAAGATTATTTTAGGCTTTGCTGAGCATGTAAGGGGAGAAAAGTTCAAGGTCACTGAATGCTTCCCATGCCCTTTCTGTGCCAGTATACTTTGTCATTAATAGCCTTCCAAACAAAATGAGGAATTTATTTGTTCCTACAAGACCAATAAAGAATATCCAATGAAGAGAGTTCATGTAACTTTCCAGAAGTCCAAAAAGCAAATTCTGGACCCAAGATTAGAATCAGGTCTTTCTGATTCCAAAAGTAGCATGGACCAACTATCTTAATATGATTAAGTAAAACTTAGTGGATGTTCAATAGCGTCTGTATATAAGCTTCTCAATTTTGCAGAAATAAACAGGGAGCTGACTCTGCATAGAACACTGAGACATGCACAGAATTTGATTGTCATAAATTTGTATAACAAATCCAGAGAGAAATGTTGATTCTTACCATTAATGGTGGATCAGTAATCTAACCAATGAATGACTTAAAATGATTTAAAAGTGACTGAAAATTATTTAAAAGCATAATACATCTTCATACACAGAATCTTCAAAGAATATACAGTTCTATTTTAGTTTGCATGTATGCTATAAAATCCATAAGTAGATTTTAAAGTGATAGATGTATCAGAATATGTGTGTATGTGTATGTGTGGGCATGTGTGGGTGTGAGTGGGCAGATGGATCAATAGATGATAGATGATAGATAGATAGATAGATAGATAGATAGATAGATAGATAATAGAAGATAGATAGAGACTTGACATAAATGTCAGGCATCATCATTCTAAGTATTCTCCATGTAGTACTTCATTCGATCATTGTAACATTCCTACAGGTAAGTATACTTTTGTTCTCAATTTTGTAGAAGAAAGAACTGAGCAACAGAGTTTAAGCAGCATTCTCAAGGTCCCATTAATAACTAACTGTCTTTGAACCTATATAGACTGAATAATGTGTGTGTGTAATCACTATGAAATATTTGATTTTCTATAAAAATAAGGAATGAGATAAAGGAGTGCCATAATAAGATAAATATGATTTTCCATGTGTCTTACTAAATATGCTACATGGAATATTTTTATTTTTTGAGGACAAAAATATTTTGTCAATTTCATGATACTTTTATGTGTATACACTTAAGGATGAGTCAATTTTCCATTTTTATCTTAATGAGCCTGTTTATTTTTATCTCTCATCTGAACTGGTTTGACTGTTTACTCATACTGCTTCTCCTTGGATTAAATGAGTAGGTTGATTGCCAACTGTTTCACTATTGTTAGACATAGAAACCTTCTCAGTTTTTTGTGATAGATGTATACAAGTCACCTTCTAGTTCTCTCGTGTTGATCTCGATCAGTCACCACACTTGCTATGATCACTCCAGAGCGGCATGATGGCTGGCATGATAACTAGATATACAGGACAACTAAGTTTCCTTGAGTGAGGGAAAATGAAGGGAAAAGAAAAAACCCAAGATACAGGACAGCCTAAAAATGCTGACCTCTTACAGAGGAAAACTACTAAAGTTTATGAGGCAGAGGAAGCATTTCTGTAAAGTAATGCAAAATTTGGGAGAACATATGGAATTTTATCTCTCTCAGAGAGAGTAAGCTTGCAAATATGAAGATACCTAGGGTGAATTTTATAGTGTGTGTATTATATCACAATACAAAGGTTTTTTTAAATGTACTTTTACACGAAAGAGAAGTTACTTACCACAGTTTGCCCAATCCTATAAACAAGATTGCTTTCCCTGTCTCAGCCTGCACAGACCAAGGATAGACAGAAATAGCTAATGTCTTGCTACAATGAGTGAAGATGTTTCCAAATGTTTGTACTTGGGTCACCCTGACTTTCAGAATCATTAGGTATCCTTTGTCTTTTGCTGATATTACAGGAAATCATCATCTTAATATTATAGGAAATAGAAAATCTGGAAAGTGGCTTGAAGATATGTAATGAGGCTGAAAAGGGCATTTGAAGAAGTGTGAAGATTAACTGAGTGTAGCAGAAATTTCTATACCAGAATATTCTTAGTGATAATATCTCTGTTTTACAAGGCACTCCATTTTAATTTTGAGAAATTTTGATTAGAAAGATCTTTATTTAATAAATATATGTAATCTCACTGATTATTTACTTAAAAGTGGTTCAAATGCTAAATTATATTTTCTACCACAATAAAATAAATTCAGTCTTTCTTTTCAGCATAGCTTTTGAATATTCATCACATATACTCAAGAGGGCTGAGTGGTTTTTTGGCTCTAGAACATGTAATAATTGTCCGAAGACCAGATGGAAGAAAGCAAAAACAAAAAGCAAAAACTGTCCCCAAATGCATTTTCTTTTTTGTATCCTTGCACTGCTTTGTCTCCCAAATGCAAATCCTGAGCCTTACCACTCACCGTTTATGCACACTTATGCACACACACTCACACTTGCATGCACATAGAGTAGCCTTAGAACTCCAAAGGAGTTTCTAGCAGTCCTTTGCATTAATTTCTCAAATCTATGTGCTTTTTCCTCACTTCTGTACTTTTCTCTGGGGTTTTTATTTTTAAGGGTGGAAGCAGATATCTGTGGAATCCTCTTTTCTCATACAGCTAGACACTTGTTCAAGTATGAATTGTAATCTAATTTTTCATATCAGATAGAATTTGTATCCTCATGCCACTGAATAGGTCTCTTTGGTATCATTGAAAAATAACAGAACAATAAATTTGTGTGTTTAAAAAGTTCAGAGCTATGGTGTATAAAGGAGCCCCAGAAAGTGTAAGAAGTGTAAGAGGATGTGAAGTCTAAGAGGATGGACATACTCTTAGCAGTAGCAGAAGAAAAAAATACATAACTGAAGAAAAATATGAGCCTAAAATTTGATAAAGCATATGCAGTGCTGAGCAAAAATGATTAAAAGGATTTTTTTATAATTTAATAATAGATACTAAATTTCAAAACATCAAGAATAAAGGGAAAATCTTGAAAGCCCTCAGAGTAGGAAAACACACAAATCAAATGAACTCCAAGATAATGAAAACCTTTCTCTGGATGGTAGATCTCTCATCAGCAGCTGCATAAAGAGGATAGAGAAACTCCTTTACATTTATAAAAGAGAAAAATGTTTAAATTCAGTTTTTAAATTTAGTCTATCAGGTGTTGGAGAAAAATTTCAGATGTAAAACTTTAAAATAATTGCTACTCATAGACCCTCTCTAAATGTATTCACAGAAAATAGAATAAAAAATGCAGAAAGAAGTAGTATACAAGAACACACAGAAGGCAAAAGGACAAAAAAGTACTAAGTACAAAAGTGGTTTTTATAAGATTGCAATGACTTCAGATGGAAATATTAATCTCTCTGAACATAATTTCTGCATTTATAAAATGAAGATAATCAGTCTTGTCTTATAAATGTTGTTATGAGACAGATATTTTGTGAAGAATGTTGAGTTTATTGACAGATGAGTATTAAGTGCTTAGTAAAGAGTAATTATGCATATATATACACACCTGATGCATATTTGGGTGTGCATAAAGATGGACAAAGCAGTAAGTCAAAATCCTAGGCACTCTGCCCTACTATCTTCAGGTCCTTAATATCTAGTTCATGATCTTTAACATTGATTTTGCACATAATAGAAGGATGCTTTCCCAAGTGGCTTGTGAGGCTAGCCAAAGGACTCTTAATATGTGATTGGATAGACTCTGGATTCAGAGAAAACATATATTAAAAGCACAAAATACCAACTGAATTAACAGCTGAAGGTTTTGTTTTCCTTCGTTCCTGCATGATATATCTGCAGTCTAGTGTTCGCATAGTCTTCCAGTAAGCTCATCAGAATCCTTCATATTGGGATGCCTGGGTGGCTCAGGGGTTGAGCACCTACCTTCGGCCCAGGGCATGATCCTGAAGTCCCAGGACTGAGTCCCACATTGGGCTCCCTTCGTGGGGCCTGCTTCTCCCTCTGCCTGTGTCTCTGCCTCTCTCTCTCTCTCTCTCTCTCTCTCTGTATCTCTCATGAATAAATAAATAAAATCTTTTTTTAAAAAAATCTAGTTATTTAATCTTTTCTAACTACAGTTTGATTTTGTTACTCTTCTC